AAGCATTGAATTGCTATTCATAACCTTTTCTTTAAAAGTGTCGATACTTCATTCCTATTTCCCACTTGCTCGATACACGTTGGAATATCGTAAAATAGTGCACAGAGGATTAAAGGAAGTGAAACCGCGTTGCATTGGAACAAGAGACGCCGTGGAATTTTGAAGTACCGGGTGCTGGAATCTACTTTTGCCTCCGACTTACTGCCTTATACTTGGTTTCTGTGTACATTGGGCACCTATATTCTTACTTTGGTGTAGTTTGCAATCAAAGCTAAATTGTTGGACATTCGCTGGCTACTTTCGGAGGTCTCAGTGATGGGCCTAATTGCTGTCTGAGTCCGCCATTCTGGATTCGTTTGTGGCCTTATCAACTAGTGCAACTGCGCAACCCTGGGACAGACGCGCAGCCAAATCAACTCCATCGACGCGCTCACTTGATCTTTACAACTTCAACGTTCGGTCGATCGATGCATACCGCCACAGAATTCGGAAAAGTCACCAATCGTCCCACTAGCTCAGGTAACGACACCAGGCTGAATGGAAAATATCTAGTAAATGCACATACAAAAGCGCTCCAACCTAAGGGTGCTTGCGGATCAGGCGAAGTGAACAGAATAGGCAACTTGGGCTTAGCTTGCTCGCATTGTTTCAACTGGTACCATCTGAAGTGTGTTAGCTTATCCCAACAGAAGCTGCGAGAGATGAACGCTTTCAAGACGTCCTTTGGTTCCGTACCACCTGTTCGACCATCTCAGTTGTTGAATGTATGATTGTCCTAGTCCAGAAATGCAACCGGTGGGTAGCAGAAGCCGAAAAGCGAATGAGCACTAAGAGCATCTCCTTGCAAGGAGGTCTGAAACCAGTTAAACCTAAAGACATTTAACCAAAAAGCTGGTGCACAAGTGGTTTCTCATGAACCACGATCAGCCAGATCCGATCGCCGTTATGTTCTACGTCTTTGGCAGAACACCAGACGAAAATTGACCGCAACCCCAAGAGACCAACAGTGCCCGTGCCGACCAAAATCAGGCACCAACCGAAACGTGTGAGTACTCAAAGCCCTCCAGTCTTGATGACATCTGTAGGTAAAATGGACAAAGCAGCCGAACAGCAACAGTCGGTATCTGTAGCTCTGGTGTCTGTTGTCAAGCCAAAGTCCCCTAGAATATTAGTCATATATACCGCGATTGCTGCAAAGTTCACCCGAGAGGCCGCCCTTTCAGTCTCTTTTGTTACAAACACCGCGATCTTGGATACAGGGACAAACAATAAGCAATCAGCACTTAATAGAAACTCAGAACAAAGGATCCTCCAAACAAATAGCTAAAAGAAAAAGGGATATAACAATAGTGCTCTGACTGTTGTGTGCCCAAAAGGACCCAAATTAGCAGCTATCACATTGCAAGGTAAAATATCCGGCGACCTAAGCCAAAGGGAATCAATGTGCTTTCTGATGAAAGTAAAAGCCAAACCCATAAACTTGGTACGAATTACTCGTCAAGCGAACTCTGCACACTTTGGAGATCCCAGATATATTAGAGTAACACTAGACTAATCAACTGATGTGGAAAATGTTCTACTCTCCGCAAACGAACTGCAACATGGATCGTGTGAGATACGTATTTATCCTGATGTTCCGTGGAACAGTCGACCGTCGAGAAGAAACTCCGAAGAATGACACAGCAAGCCTGATCGCATAAACACTATCTTCATTCATGGTGTGAAAGAGCTTCCTTCATACGATAGTCAAGAGACCGGAAATCACGATTTAGAACAATGGTGATTCATCGGCGAAACCCGTTCCTTGGATAATGTTGTGGCGCAATCGCTCAAAAGGTTACTTCTCTTGCCAAGTTATAGAGGATGTGGCCCGAGAATCTTAAAACACGTGGTTCAATCCGAGCAAGGGACGACGAATGAGCTACCATATTGGCGCAAAAAATCGAAAACGTTTTCCATCAGCAGTTCGGTTAAATACTGCAGATGCTTCACAACGTCCAGTTACAAAATCAGCTAAAAGGGCAGACGTACTGGCGATGACTGCTCTTTTAACCGATACAGGCGCAGATCTAGATGTGGGTTGGGACGCGCCTAGGCCAGATCAAGGTAAGGAAGTAGTAGCAGTATCTCAACAAAGACCGAATAACGGCCGACCTTACATCGGTCGGCACTCCCACACACCTGACTTCCTTGACCCCTTGTGGTCTACTAGATAGATAAACTAGTCTATTTGTACATGAATGCTCAGCGCCTCTGCAATAAGCTGGCCCAACTGGAAGTTCGCTAAGATTCCCAGAAATATGATATCATCGGCATCACGGAGATGTGGTTGCCATAATGATATGACGGACGCTGCAGTTTCGCTATCTTGAATGTCACTCATTCGGAAAGACATAATGAAAAATGGAGGTGGCATAATTCTGTATTACCAAAGCGACAGTTAGGTCAGTTAGGTCGCCGTGCTAATGTCGTTATCAATTTCAACTACATCGGCTATGCAGAATACCGAGATGCGGACCATGAGACGACGCAAAGCATTACATGCTACGATCGATTAGTCCACGTCATCCGTACCACAACCTGGTCGTTACTGCCGAAGAAACCCCGGACGTCGCCTGGCTCGAGTATGTAAAAAGTTCAGCCGGCCGGTTACGGATGCTACAGAGAGGAAAGCATGCAAACGGCCTGAAACGGTCAGTTACGTAAGAAGCAGAACTCGAAAAGTGCTGGCAGTACTCAACTCAGTGTGGCGAGAGTACAGCTTATCCCCAACACCAGAAAGTTAGGATAATTACGTAGCTCCACGAAAACACTGCATACAACTGCTCGGGAAGGATAATACCACACATCAGCAAAACACGGCAAAAACCTTCAGCGCCAATCAAACTGCGCATCAAGGCTGAGCAGCAAGGCTTCCGTCTAAATCGATCATGCACAACGAAGCTGCTAATAGCACGGAGTAGCTGGACCCAGCCAGGTGACGCTGGAGAGGACGTTGATGTAATCTACGTGAATTTCTTCAAAGCGTTCGACCGTCTAGGTAATCGGATACTTCTTTCTAAGCTACAGCGTTACGGGGTCGTAACCCTCCTTCTAAGCTGAATCGCCACCTATCCCCTACAGCGGCGATTGGTGGTCAGAGTTCGGAGCTCCTACTCTAACTCCATATAAGTTGAATGTGTGTGCCACAAGGGCGGATGCTAAGTCCAGCTGTTTTGGGTATTTATCAATGACCTCACACAGGCAGTTACAGCTAACTTCCTACTGTTTGCCGATGACGTCAAGATTTGGTGCAAGGTTCAGGGGAATACTGACTTGCAAGTGTTTCAGAGTGATCTAGATATGGTACAACAGTGGTCCATCCAAAACGCACTGCAATTCGATGTGAGTACATGCAAGGTGCTCTCCATACGACCCCAGAGCAACTTCTGTTACAGGCTCGGAGCTCGAGTGCTGCAGCCAGCTGCCACCGAAGGTGATTTGGGCGTACTAGATTAGGATGATCAGAGTTGTTCCAGGCAATCCGCGAAAGCCTCCGAAACTGATAACCATCATGTGGGCTTGTTACCACGTGCGTTCGGACAAATAGATTGCTTTACTTTCTGGCGGATGCTTATTGCGTATGTTCATACTCAAGTCGAATATGCAATACAAGACTCGCGTCCACGGCTAAAACACAATCTTAGTGCATTGGAGCAGCCCCAATGTCGAGCATCGAAGTACGTTGTTGGAATGCACCATCTTCTATATGTTGACAGGCTGGAAAGATTGAGAGTATTCAGCGGACGTTACCGCCACCTACGAGGTGACTTGATAATGGTGTAATTAATTCTGCACGATCTACATTATGTATGCCGCTCTTTACTGCAACTTGAGAAGTCACGCACTAAAGCTGGCAGAACAGCACAGCCGCCTGGATTGAGCAAGAACTTCTTTTTCGTCCGCGTGTGACACCTGTAACATGCTCTTCCAGAATCGAACACTTCTTCACCACCACTATCCATATCTAAAGGACCTTTGAATGACCCACTTACTCACCTACACTTTTGTACATAGTAAACATCTTTATTCCACTCCTGGAATATACTTATTTATATTTATTTAATGTTACATGTTACATGTTTGTGGTGTGAAACTACACTGACCGTAGACCTACAGCGAAACAAACGATAAGTCTTTCTTTGAAACGCAGTAACCTACTGCTTTTTATTTTTCGATAACCCTTCAAAACCACTCCACAGGACATGTAAAGCATTTCTGGTTAACCCGTATAAATTCATTGTTTATTGTTCAAATATGGAGCGCTTGTATAAAACGTCTTTGGGGTTTCCTTAAAAGTAGAGTATTTTAAACTAGGTAATAAACTCAAGCTTGATCCGCTCTGTCTACGGCGCATGAAGCAAACCAGTGTATATATCAACAGTTTGCACAAGAGATGCACGGTTCCAATCTCATCATGCCATTAATGCAGTCAGCCGCTTACAACATAGTAAATAAGGAGAACTTAGCAGCGGAATGTGAGATCGGGATCATCAGACCATCGAAATGTTTCCATAATAGGTACACTAGAATCGGGAAAAAGCTACCAAACGGAGTGCGTGTCTGCATTCTTAAGCACTAAGTTCACAAAAGCTGTAAGAAGTTCTTAACTGCACAAAACGTGAAGCTGCTCCTCGGATGTTCTGTAATAACAAGTCAAGCGTACGAGCAGGGTTCAGGTTTCATATGAGTCAGCACTTGGTTCGCCATCCTCATCCCTTATGTGAGTTAGCCATCTATTATAACATATGAGTGGTTGGAGGTCAGACAACACAAATTCACTAATCAACCATTTTGTGTCAATGCTGTTTAATCAAACGTCTCTGATCCACGTATGAGCACCGTTCTGTACAACTGGACACTTACCCAATCATGCTGACACAGCGGCGTCTCGCATCGTCGACAATGCAATTGTATTTATTAATTTATTTAAGCAAGGAGCAAATTAAGTAAACACTTACCCACGGTATTCGATATATTTGTAGATTGCTCCAGCAATTACCCAAGCGACGATTGTGTAGTACCAGCTAGAGATAAACATTAGCGCAATGCACAGACACAGTCCAATGAAAGAAAGAAACCTGAAAAGGTAGGAAAGACCACAATTCTCCGGCATGAGTTCGGCGACGCAACTCATTGACACATGTGAGAAAGTTCGGAATAAAGCACTCTGCCGACGACGGCAACCGTAGTAATGGAGAAGCACGTTAGCTGGTAGATATACGGCTGAACAGAATGTGAAAGCTATGCAAAAGTGTATGTGGAGGTTCCGTTTTATGCTAAAAGAGACACAGTTATCATGCACCCCATTTGTGCATCCACTCTCCTGGCAAGCCGTCGAGAGTGCGACAACCGAGAAGAGCACTCCTAGCAGTCAGGGCGCACGTCTGCATGCAGCATGCGATGCATGGGCAAATTTTCCGTTCGACTCAAACGTCTAGCTGAGCCCTAAACCTGTCTTCTACGGAGCATTTCACCCTTTCGTTTAGGAGGCTCGCTGCTCGGTAAAGCACTAGCGGCATTTCTTTACATCATGCTACGTTTGACGCATGGTGAATATTTTCAACGTTTGCTTGCGTCAAGCTTCGAGTATATGCTGCTCTCACCCCTCAAAAGGATATTCGTGACTGCAACTCCGTTTAGTAAGGCAAAGTAAATCATCTGAGTACGTTGGAATAAATCTTAAGTAGTTCGAGTAAACAAGTATGCGAATGGAAAGTGAAATGTGTGACAGCAGCGTTGACGAAAGAGTTGAAAAGCACTTAATTAGTGACAACGAAAACTTTCGGAAGGATGTATGTTGCCCGAAGTTGATAGACCACAAATTTTAGAACATTAGCATTGAAATCCCAGACACTATGAGACGTTGATTCAGACTTTTACACAACTCTCCTCTCATCCTAATGGCAAACGTATGCATACCGCGGTACTGCGGATGTCGCTTCCGCTATATGGCCTTCGAGACCACAATGTAAAGAAAAACTATAAGGGGAATCTGTTTATCAAGGTCAGAAAAACTAACCTTCAAACATCAGGATGTACTATCCGTTGCCACTGCTCTTGAGGCAGTCCTACCATGCACAACGCCTTAGCTGTCTTGGGTACCATGGCATTGAAAAACCCCATACGAACAAGGTACAAATAACGTAAAAGAAATATTCGGCAGTTTCACTGTATCCATGTCGCAACGTTTGGTGCCAATATGGTACTGGTTAGTACAATTTTCCTCATTCTCACATCTTTTTGTTTCACCCGACTCCCCCTTCCATCTCAATCTATGAAAAAGGGGAACTGGTAAGTTGATGCACCATCCTTCTTGGCAGTCGCATAATCTCGTAAGTCTACGCACTACTGGTTTCCATAACAGAAATGCCAATGTCTCAACCTTATCGAATGCACTCGACTGATTGCAGAAATGTATCAAGAAGTAACACCAGTTTACATAGTTATAAGCTAATGAATATTATCAGTAATGTCCAATCTAAATCGTACGAATTTTAAGTGAATGTACTGAAGCATAACATATACAGCATGCATGTATGGGGCCAATACGTTTAAAACCTCACTGATACACTCGCCCCTGACTACTGACTGCAGCTTGCCACTATGAAACGATGAGTTCGCCGAGATCGTCGCCATAATGATCTAGTGCTCACAAGCTGCAGTATCCAGCAAAAGCCACCCATCATAGAGGGCGTGTACCTGCCACTATAGTGCTGCCTCATGACTAAAAGGTCTTGGTGAATGCGCTTACGATGTTCATCGCTAACGGATCCAAAGTTCTCAGAGAAAAAGTCAGTTTGATTATATAGAAAGTGAAGCTTGAGTGACATTCGAGTACCAACAGACTGATGGTCTGCAATGAGTATTTTATGAGGTCTATGTAATTCTCCGCATTTGTTCTACCCAAAAATGTATGAGTTCCACGCTTCTAAACCAAATGCAGTCAAATGGCATTCGAAAGCACTGTCTGCCATTATACGGTGAAAAGCAGGCCCAATAAGTATCCCTACTTGAAACTTCGCAGCACTAACCTTTGTTTTAGGTATCGAAAGGCAAAACCATCACGCTTGAGGATATTGACGAAGTTTTTTTAATCAAACCAAGCTTTATGTGCAGGGGTGGTAGATAGATATGATCAGGTTACACAAAAAGCGTATGCTTTACCATCGTTTTCCTTGCAGCATACTTCGTCCACTCTGACAACTTTTCTGTGGTCATGGAAACCGGACAAATTAACACTTCGCTTTCTGCATATAGTAAACTTAGTGTGTAAAGTAAGTGCCACTGCTGCAACCGAGATGTCAAAAACTCGACCTTGTCTTTAGGCAAGCTCAGAGCACGTACCAAGTGATTCGGCTCTGACTGTGCTATAAGAGATGGGTTGACATCATCAGCTTCAAAGTTTTCAAAGATGTTCGAATCAGGTGAAGTTGACGATGCGAAATCACTACTCATCATAAGTGACATGTTCAATAAAGGCACTGGAGCTCATTGCATGAGCGGATTAAGGTGGAACTCGGTGTACTGCAAAATCATTCTTGGTCGTCATAGACGATCTCAATCGCGTGATGGCCTCTTCTTTTTGCTTTTCGCCTATGCTATGAATATAGATGCAGGGTGATCGATGAGCAGGCAGATTACGACATTTTTCAGCGAGACTTGGTTAGGGTTTTGAATATCTAGAGCGAAATGTAGTCCTGTCTAACGCGGAGCCACGTGCAGTGGTTCAACTACTCCACAGGACAACGATGCTCAACACCAACTGCATTACGTGCTACGGTACGCGTTCATTAGATGAGGAGAATCACGAACGCTTAGTTCAGTAACAGTCATGAACTGCAGGTAGGGGGAGTAGCATTTCATTTTTTGTTTCGCCGCACCTATTCCTTTCTAGCTGCACAGTCCATTAAGGACTTACCCATTTCCCACTTGCTTACGTTTGCTATATCGACTCCATTTGCTTATCGAATACATTTATCTCCTACTCTATCGATGACTTCTAAAACACTAGCCGCTAAGAAGAAAGGTTCAGCTAATAACTCAGCATTACCAAACAGGCGAAGTTTAAGGAGCTCTGGTAAAGTTGTGGAGGTAGATGAACTTGTTTCTTCTTCCTTGGTACCGCCAAACTCCAGGATGAACAACTCGGTAACAAATGCGCTACTACCACATAAGGAAGTTTTAAAGGTTTTTAAAAAAGGCTGTAAAAGTAACTGAACCTAAAGAAACTCTTAAAATGCACAAGGAACGTTTAGCTTCTACTACCAACAGTCCCACATAAGTATACAACAGAGTCGTTCGAACAGAAAAGGATGTCAAATCCATCAATGAAAAGTTCTCGGTAATAGATGACTTCTGCAATCTGCTGCGTCTCTTCTCCTACTTGTGTAGTATGCCTAATAAACCCAAACTAAAGTACCTGCACAAGACTTCATACTTCATCTCTACAGTTGCATCAGAAGCTTGTGAAGGTATACGCCGTCAGAAAAATGTAGTCGAGTTCAATGTGTCTGATAATATCAAAATCAAATCAGTGGAAAAGTCATGTTTGAAGCCAGCAACTTACAGTCCATACGTTGTATATCCATCCGATTAAAGAGGAACTCGACGAAGCATTGCTGCTCGGTCGTGTTCAAGCTCTCTGACGAAGCAAATTCTGAAAAGATCATCTACTCTCAAAGTCTTATAGCCGCAAGACCCGGTTTCGAAAGGATAATTCTTAAACACGATGAGACACCACTCCAAAGGGAAGTGATTCGAAGTAGACGACCTCTGGTAGGTCCGAAATAACATACTCCTGTAAATATGCACCGCCACGGAAGCCTGCATACTAAAGTGGACCTTGACAATAGCCACTCCAATGTACTATCCAACGTGGGTGTTGCACCTATCAAGTCGGCACCATCTAATCCGTCCAAAACAGCTTCCTCAGGAATAGGCAATATGTCTGACACTGACCCAGTACAACATTTGTGTGACATCTCTCCTAATAGTCCTCAGAATCATATTACATTTGTCCCCACTGACAGTGGCAGTTCAGGCTCCAAGAAGTTTGCCCGGCCACTGGGTGGACAGTATAGAGAGAATGATACTGTGGATACAAAACCTATAAACGTTAAAATCACTATCGGGAGTAAATTAGTGCAAAATAGACCACAAGTGCCACAATACAACACGCTGCTTGCTTCTAAGATAAGTAGCAAAAACTAACAGCCAACCAAACGGTAAGCCCTACATGTCCATGGCTGCGGCAAAGGTTGTTGGATCCGAACAAATATCTCAAGAGATGCATGCAGAAAATAGTTGCAGTCAGTTATCAAAGAAAACAGTGTGCAACAACCTTCCGAAAGATGCCAGTAGCTAAACAAAGAGCATCTCTACCCAGCACCTTTACAAATGGTTCCACCGTTTCTTCCAACATCAGGGCTATTCCAATTCATACAGGGGTTCTTGATCCCCCAAATCATTGTGTGCCCATTCCTTCTCCTCTCCATCCGTTCTCCATGGCACAGATGCTTATCTTTGCCATGATCGTAACTAAAGGAGCAAGATTACACCCTCTCAAGGAAGCTCTATCTCACAACCCGTGCTTTATTTTGAGTATCCACTTAGTCATGCAGTCGACCACCGCAATATGTTTCTACCCTTGGAGAACCACTACAAACATGCGGCTGACATGCAATTGCTGTTTTTTAGGAACTCGCCGCCTCACCTGGCGCCCATCCTACCTCTCCTCATCCCAACGCATTTCAACCAGTTATTAGGGAGGGAGAATGTACCACATGGTGCTGCAAGCCCTGTAGACTGCCACAAACCTCTGCACTTATGTATACTAAGCCCGGTTCCCACTCCCGCCACACATCGACAGACTATGCTTCATCATCCGTGGGCTGCACCAAAGTCTCTGTACATCGCACCCAATACAGTGGCTGAAGTTCCCATAGGTCATTTGATACAGGTAACGATGAATACAGCCAAACTGAGCGTGACCTTGACTCTCAACAACCTTCAGGAAATACATTATTAGATAAATCTAGCACCAACAGGCTGATGTTAGAGGCAGCAGGCCTTCTATCCTAAAATGATGTATTTAACCTTCTTCTAACTAATGCTCGATCGCTGGCGAACAAGATG